CCCCCCCCCCCCCCCCCCCAGCCCTGCCGCCCCCCTCACCACCCCCCGAAAAACCCCAAAGTGGTTCCCCCAATTCCTATAAAAAACCCATCCCGGGCTGGAGAGGCAGCTGTGCAGCTCCGGGGAGGGGGGGGCAGGGCTGCAGTGTGTGTGTGTGAGGGGGGGGAATCTGTCCCCCCAGAGTCAGTCCAACCAGTGGGGGGCGCTGGTCCGGCCGATCTGGCTGTGCTGGTATCTCAGGGGTCCCCGAGACGTCCACGGTGAATCCGGAGGGGCACAGTTCTGGGGGGCGGCGCCCCCTGGCCCCCCCGCTCCCAGTCTCTGCGCCGAGGTATCCATGATACAAAAGGAAGGATAACGTAAAATAATTACATCACTGGGCAGAGTCCGGGCCGGGGTCCCCGGCGGGGAGCGTCCTGGGGGGGGTCAGCTCCGCCCCCTGCCCCCCCCCTCCCCCACCAGTCAGGGCGCCATCACGTCAGCCGTCCGGTCCGGAGGAGGGGGCCGGCGTCACAACTGCTGTGGGGACAACAGGGGAGGGGCGTTAGCGAGGGTGGGGGGACCCCACGGAGCCCCACCCATATGGTCAGCGGATTTCAGCCCAGGGGGTCAGACGGGGCCCCCAGCCTCCTCCGCCCAGCTCCAGGGCCCCCCATGGCAACCAGAACCCCCCTCCCACGCCCTCCCCCAGCCCTAGGGGCCCCCATAGCACCCCAAATCTCACCCCAACGCCGTTCTGGCTGTGGTCGGTGCCGGCCCCAGGGGGGGCCACATCGGGGGGCTCGCTCTCCCGGCTCCTCTTTGGCTCTAACTCCTCCTTCGGTAGGGGGGGCAGCTCCCCCCGCTCGGCCCGGCGCTTCCGGCGCCGCTCAGCATCCCGGCCCCGCGCCCGGGCCCCGCGCCGCTCCGCCTGCTCCAGCTGGGGGCGACAGGACACGTCAGCGGGACGGGGCCCCCCCTGCAGCCACACAACTCCCCCCAGCCCTGCCGGAGCCCCTCAGTCCCGACCCGCAGCCCCCCGCCCCCCAGCCCCGCCCCCCCCCCCCCCCCCCCCCCCCGCCACCCAGCCCGCCCGACCCACAGCCCCCCGCCCCGCCGGTGCTCCTCACGTCCAACCCACAGCCCCCCGCCCCCCAGCCCTGCCGGTGCCCCTCACGCCCGACCCACAGCCCCGCCCAGCCCTGCCGGTGCCCCTCACACCCGACCCGCAGCCCCGCCCAGCCCTGCCGGTGACCCTCACTGGTGACCCGACCCGCAGCTCCCCCCCACCCAGCTCTGCCACTCCCTGCCCTCACCTCCAGCAGGTGGCGGAAGGTGTCGACGGGGGGCGCCCGGGCGGCCTGCAGCAGCCTCCAGAGGCTCTGCCCCTCATCCAGCGTCACCTCCAGCAGGTCACCCTCCAGGAGCAGCTCCTCCAGCGCCCGCCGCGGCCCCTCAGGCAG